TCAAAAAATAATTGTTGGGGGGGGGGGGGGGGGGGGGAAATTAAAAAAATAAATAAAAAGGGATTAAATCAAATTTGTTTTAATAAAATGTGTTGGAGTAAAAATCCATCTATAGATAGTTTTCTATTTAAGATACATTAATAATTTAGTTTATTCAGCATGAAATGGAGCTTAGTTATGTAGCATGAGGTGGTGTATCCTTCAATATTTAGATTTTTGGTAAACTCATTCAATGAATCCAAGCTCTGCAAGCTGAGATAACATGCACGACGTTCATGCATTCACACAATTTCACAGTAACCATGACATAAAGCATAAAACAAAGTTCAGGAATATTCCTCTATCCTATTGTTTTGCAAATACACTGGCCTGCTGCCCGCCACGTCCCTCACCTTGTTGTGTCACTGCCGCATCACCAGCCATCCCATTAAAGTGAATGGGACTGTCGGTGAATCAACAGCGGGTCAGAGGAGCCGCTGCGGGACAGAGATGACAGTTGCTCTTAAAAATTATGATTTAAATCCAGTTGATTTAAATCCAGCCTTTTAACTAGTGATTTAAAATCGACTTTATTTAAATGAAATCCACCGTGCTGCAAAAATGTCTAATAGAGGGAAAAACGTAGAATTGTTATACCGGATGTGAATAAAGAGAACCAACAAAGCCAAATGCTCTCCAGAGGAAGCAATTCCACAGGGATATTCAGAAGAAATGACTCAGCAGCTGCTTCACAGAGTCCTCCTCTACAGCTACCATCCATCTATCCATGTAGGTCCCCTTTTACTCAGAGGCTCTTACAGGCCCCCCACAAAGCCACATATAATTAAGGTGGGGTGAGTATAACAAGCCACAGTATAAAGTCCTACCATTCTTCCAGTATACTTGGCAGCAGCCATCTTACTCGTGGCAAACAGTCCGATAATTCCTGACCCCCTTCCCATTTGATGGCAGAGAGATGCAACTTCTCTTTGCTGAATCATACAAGACAAAACACAACTGAGGCATGACACCTCCAACTGGATTAAAGTTTAACCAGCCTTCACAAAAACCGGAGGTGCATCTGCGGCTCAGCACACCTCGTAGCAGCAACTGACTCACCTCAATTGTTCCCATATCCCAGATTGGCCATTCTCAACACAGGTACCAATCCAAAAAGACAGTGTATACAATCTTTCCAGAATCACCAGGCAGGCCTTGCTCTCTAGAAAAAGGGAATTCCCCTTGTTTATACCCCTTATAAATTATATGGTGTGGTAAATAAAATGTGCCACATCAAGTAAACATCAGTGCAACATAACACCTACTGGGTGAAATAATCCTTTAGCATTTGTTATAAATTACCATTTAGCAAACCGGTAAACGAGAAAGAAAAAAAAAAAAAAAAAAAAAAAGGTACATGTTGTCTCTAGCAGTCAAATTGCTGTTGTCAATTAGCTGATGCAGATGAGACCATTAACATATTTAATGGATTGTTACAAGCGATGTCCACATTTCTTCAGTTTTGCAGTCAGCTCCAATAAGAACAGAATTATTTTGCTTACTGCACAAAAACATGCTGGATACTTAGCATTCTGAGGTGTTGACACTAGGGCTGCAACAACTAATCGACATAATCGATTATAATCGATTGAAAAAGTTGTCAACTTTTTCAATAATCGATTAATCGGCTTCTGGTTAGTTGGCCCTGTTCACGGCTCCACACACGCTGCACGCCACACCTCCTCCCCACCTCACGCTCACCGCTGCCAGACCCGCCGCCAGACCCGCCCGCATCCACGCTCTTCACGCCGCACCTCCTCCCCAACAATCTCAATACAAACTAGTAGTCCATCACTGGAGCCATTTTTTTTATTGTTTATCCGATTAACCGATTAATCGAACTTAATAATCGGCTAACTAATCGATTTTGAAAATAATCGTTAGCTGCAGCTCTAGTTGGCACTTGGAGAACACAAGCTCTGTTCTTGGAGTGCCGCTGACCTGCTTAATTCAGATGCTCAGTGCTAACATTAGGCTTCATTAAATGAAACGGAGGTTCACTATTTTTTTTTTAAGCCCAGTAAGAAGAAACTAGCAACCAACAGTGTTTCTCTTATATAAGCCAGGCATGTCCAGTAGCCCAGATTGTTCAGTTCTTTCTCAATTGCAATGTTTGCTCAAGCTGGAATTTGTTTTCAAAGCTACACCCGCTCGTCTACTTGTAATATAATTAATGTACCTTACTCGCTGGAGTAAAACCAGAGGACAAATCAGAAAGTAAATTACCCCTGAAACCATAATTTCCTTTCACACACCTTGTCGTGCTGAGCAGGCGAGGATTTGACATGCACACTTATGGCCTTGGATAACCGCAGCAGATGTTTCTATTAAAGGCGAATTAAACTTTAGGAGCAATAAACGGGAGAGTCACATTTTTAGGGAAATGTCAGGCATTGTGATGTGCATCACTTTTTGGACTGGAGCAGTGCCATGTCTGCCCCTATGGAATTCAGCATTGAAAAGAATTGGGATCACTCTATTTTCAAATGAGTGCAGGGGAAAGAGATCAGTTACCAGAAAACACCAGACACAAAAGCTTCTCTATTCCAGCTGAACGCCAAACAAGAAGCAAAATATATAGTTGAAAAACATATATGGAACTCACTATAGGAGCTGCTACAAAGGGGAACACAGGAATTTGATATCACGACAGATTAAAGGAGATTTGGTTTCTGCAAAGTCATAAACAGAATTATGTCATGTGACTATTACAGACATAGTGCCTAGATGAGTTCTTTAAAATATTTACCACCAAATCTGACTTTGGCTTTATAGCAACACTGAAGAGCCTCCAAGTTAGACTGCTTATATTTACAGGTCTTAAGCAATCTGGCTACTAAATGCACATGTGTACTAGGTCTAACATTTTTTCTTTAAAAACAAAACAAAAAATAAAAAGCAGAATTAAGATCTGTTAATTTGTGAAAAATGTCACTGTGCACTCCATGAAGTGCTTGCTTGTAAAGCTGTCTGACAACTTATCAAGCGCTGCAAATATTTAAACACACACTGAAAAATGATGATAGAAAACAGTCTGCTCTTGTACTTGCCTACGTTCTCTTCTTTCCACATGGATATTAACACTTGTGGCTTATCAGCCTAAACCTCAAGCACTCGTAATTTATTTTATCCTGACAGTATTTAACTTTCTGCTTGGTAGAAAAACAGCAGCGATACATTTAGTCATGAGAATAAAGCAGGCTTCATCTAAATGCTCTACACAGTATAGAGAGGAAGATGTGGGTGAGGGTGGTAACTAGGAGGAATATAAAATAGGTGCAGTTACCTTTTAACATTGTAACTGCCTTATAAAAAATACATATCTTTGAATTTCCAATATTCCCCAAACACAAAGTTATGGTTTATTTCTTCTGAGTTTACTACACTTAAAGTGACACTAAACTTAGGAGTTAAATCTTAGCAATACATTCAAGTAACTTAACCATTAACAAAAATGTATATCTTATTTGTGTATCACTCAGCTATAGAACCTAAAATCTCTGAATTGGTGCTGACACTGTCCTTCCTTCTGGAGGGTGGCTACTTGAGTTCCCCATGGTTGCTGTGTGTGTTGCAAAGTAGTCACCGCTCCAAGCTAGCCACAGAGACTACAATCCCAATACAAATTAGCCAACTAAACGTAAGATTGTAGCCCATCACAGGAGTGAGCTTGGAGTTAAAAGGTACCTGAATGCATTTAAGGTTTAACTCCAGAGTTTAGTGTCACTTTAAATGGTCACTGGAAAAGACATCAGAAGACCTCCTTGTAACTGGACCAAAAAAGGCATAAACTCTGCATTTGAAAAGGGTTCTTAACGGTAAAAGTTCTGCAAATGCGGAATAATATTTAACAAACTGCTTTGAGCAGCTCCTTGTTATAACTTGCTGATCTGTCCTATTGAAAACAAAAGATGTGCAATCGCTCCCTAATTATGTGAAAAACCCATAATGCTCCTAGTGATCTTGACTGCATAAGCATTAGGTTACATGAGCAAGCTCTAAAGAAGCTTTTTAGCATGGAAGCAAGAGGTACTTTTTGTCTTTTAAATAATCATTTGCGTTAGTGTTCCTGACATCAGTCTTACTGATTTAAAGGAAGTGCTAACTTTAAATGTTGGGACCTCTTCAAAGTCTACCTACTGGAAGACTGATTCTGAAGTACACTGTAAAGCTGCCCACACACCTTACAATTATCTGCAGATTTTCTGTGGTCAGATGGAAAAAGTGCAACAGATTGGCCCAGGTGGAGATTACTCCATCCACAGAGTTAAGTGTAGATGGAGGAATCTGTTGCACCTTTTCCATCTGACCACAGAAAATCTGCAGATAAATTGTAAGGTGTGTGGGCAGCTTTAAGCAGCTATCCACTATTGTAGTAGAAAGGGGACATTTGTCTCTGTGTGTGCATAAGAGCCAGCATCCTGGTTGCAGCAACTAGGTAACTAGTGATGTTAAATGTCCTATGCAACTGGCTGCTTGGTTGCCTTGGTCTATATACCTAGGGCCTAGTGTCCACAGTTGGCCAGTTTGCTTATTAGTACAGACTGAGCACATGAAAGTAAAGGGATGTGCTCCTGTACATACACCTCTCCTGGTAACTGGATTACAGTCTAACACCTGGCTACAGCCCAATGACTTGCCTAGCAGGATAGGCTTGGCCAAGCAAGAAAGATGTGATTCCCCCCCCCCCCCCCCGCTTCCCCCAGAGTACAGTACTTTTTTCAGTCAAACATGTCAAAATCAGAAACCAATAATGTTTCTAGCAATTACCTTCATATACGCAAACTCTTTCATGGCAGCCAGGCGTGACAGATAGAGCCATGACATCTTGTGCCGATGCTTGTGATAATCCCGCTTATTTTTAAGATTGCGAAAGGAAGTTCTTCCAAGACGATGAAGTTTTAATGCAAACTGCTCCTCCTCTTCATTTGCAACAATGTAGATATCTACATATAAAAGGTGTAAAAAAATGCACATAAGAAGGTCACTAATTAATATTAAAATCAAATCCATCACAAACGTGGCAATTCAAACTGAGTGCAATAAAAAATATCCAAACTCAGTGAAAACCTCATGTCAAAACGACTACACATGCAGCTGAATTACTCACAAACTTTGTCTTATATCTGTCAAAGTCAAGCGTAGGCCTTCACACTCCTGCCTCCCAAGGCTTTGTATTTGTCAGTGAGGCCATCCATCATATTAAAAGGTTCAAGATGTACAAGAGGAGGCAGCACCAAGCTTGACTTTTACAGGATAAGTCACGTTTTTCATATACCGTATATATTCGAGTATAAGCTGACCCGAATATAAGCCGAGGTACCTAATTTTACCACAAAGAACTGGGAAAAAATATTGACTCGAGTATAAGCCTAGGGTGGGAAATGAGGCAGCTACTGGTAAATGTACAAAATGAAGATAGATACCAATAAAATTACATGAATATTTCAAAGAAAAACAATAACCTAGCTCTGTAAGTGGAAAAGGGGGTACAGGGCTACATATCATGTACTACGGATCATTTAACCCATTCAACTCATCTGTCTATATTCTTGCTCTACCCGATTTGAGGTTTGACAAGCAGTCTGGACAGCTTTAGTTAAAGTGTATGTGAACCAAATGCTTTCTTTCTTAGGTTTTGGGAAGAGTAGGGTAGGAATGGAACTCAAACCTAGCTTTTACTGCTACCTGGGGCTCAGAGAGATGTACTTCACTTCTTTTCTTGTTGACAAAAATGTCATTAGAAATAAAATGGAGATAGAAACTGCAACATCGACCCAGGCAGAAATAAAAATTAAATTTTGGGCTCTTTTCCCCTATTCTACTATACAAAATAATTTGTTATTCCAGTTCCCCTCACTTCCTGTCTGATAAAACTTCGGCAGGACCAAAGTGAGGGCCCACTCATACCAGGATGCACTGCGGTGGCATGCATGTGTTTGTATGCCATTAGGAGCACTATGTTAACCAGCCTATTTCAAATGAATGGGTTGAAATGCACACCAATTCTTGAACATTTTGTGCAGGATGCATTTTTTTCATTGCACTGTGGTGCAATGCAGCACAGGTGCATTTTGGAGGTGTCAATTGGAAGGCAATTCTCACAGGATTTAGGGTACGCTACTCTCACTGGAGGCAGTCATGAGGCTAAATGACCTTACTAGTGTCTACAGAAAGCATCCAGGAGCCAGGGTCCAAAGTAGGGATGCACCGATAACGATACTAGTATAAGTGCCCATACCGAGTATTTGGGCGAGTACTCGGAGTCGCTCAAATGCTCCAATACCTTCACTGACACTGGAACTTCCGGTCAAAGGGAGATTTCCTCTGACCGACAGTGCTACGAGGGAACACAGAGCCAGCTTTCTGGTTGGCCAGGAAGCCGGCTCCATGCTGTTTGGCCGGGAAGTGGACCATGCAATTACATGCAGGGTTCGCTTTAATGCTACCCCACAGCAATCCATCAGATCCTCCTTTACAAAAATGGAAATGAAGGGAAAAATCTCAGAAGATACAAGCCACCATATACTTTGAGGCAAGTAATCTTACTAACAATAAACAAAAAATGAAACACATGCAGTAGATTTAGTAAATCTGTGTTAAAAGAATAACCCCTGGAGGTTAAAACAAGCTCTGATTGGTCAGCACATGAAATGCTTTTCTGAGTTACCACTAGTTTCCTTTGAATTGCATTTACCTGATTCTTTTCCAACGCCCATTTGGTTTCCAACTGAAGTGACGACATCCCGGGAAGACAGAGCTTTAAGTGCCAGGTAATCATAGCCCCCATAAATTAGCCGGTAACCCTGAACAGCTAGAACACAAAGCAGAGAAATGATTTATTCAGATTAAAGCCTTAGTCAGGGGTTTGTTTTCTAGATACAACGGCAAAGAGTTTGTGGGGTTTGAATTTCTGTGACCCCATTAGGGAGATTTTCCCACACTTTTTGTCACTGTGATGCCCATAAAGGGGTTTTGGGTAGTGGGTGTCACAGGACAAGAAGGCATAGACAGCAACAAAAGCTTTAAACCTTCCCAGCTCCACTAAAAAATATACCTATGTTTTTTCTAGTGTCCTATCAGGAAGTGAGAGTAAATCTGCCCAATAGGGGACGGAGCAGCTTTAATGAATAACTCAGAGTAATTGTTTTTATTAACGCTTGTAGTGGGGCTTTACCTTTGCACTGCATGGGCTAACTGCTCGTATTGGTCTAGGACTAAAAGCAACAAAGATATACTCACCGATCCTCCGAGCTGGTTGTCTGTGACAGTGCTCCCTGAAACCTGTCTTCTACGCTGCAGCAATGGAACGTCCCTCACCGCCCTCATTACACACAATTTACAGAACGTGATGATTTACAGGACCTTAGACCGCTGCAGCAGAGGGGGAGAGATGCTCTAGGGACTGGCCTAAGAGCAAGCCAGCACCTTGAGCCTCATAGCTGTAAATCTGCAGTCTGATGTTATCTAAAAAAGGTACTGTGCCGGATTGCTAGTCTCATGAGATTTATAGTTATGTCACTACTGTGCTACTCACTGTTCTCCTTACCGGCCAACTCTCATATAAGGAAGTAAAGCCCCACTACACTTCTATCAAGATGGCTGCCTCTAAACAGAGACACAGTAAAGAACAAAGCATGGCGAAAAATAAGCTGCAGGGAGGCCACAGGCAATACTGGTGACTTGTCCTTTGCCTCCTCTTTAAAAACCTGACAGACACTCCAACCTTCCCCGATAAATGTGAAAATGGCTAAAAGGTTTTCACTCATGTTGAACTTTAAACAGTTAACCATAAAAGTATGGTTTACATTAAATAAAACCTTTAGTAAACCAAAATGCAACTGTAAGGTAGTCCTTTAAAGTATATGTAAACACAAATTGCTAAAATCTTATATTACATTTATTATGTTAATATAATTTCAATAGTCATTTTCAGTCAATTTAAATCTGCAGCTTTCATTTAAAGTGACACTAAACTCAGGAGTGAAATCTTAAAAATGCATTCAAGTACTGTCCTTTCTTCTGGAGGGTGACTAAGTTTGTTCCTCATAAGCCCTGTATTGCAAAGTAGCCACCGCTCCAAGCTCACTCCCATAATGACTACAATCTCAATACAAATTTGTAAACTAAACATGATTGTAGTCCATCATGGGAGTGAGCTTGGAAGGGTGGCTACATTAGAACACAGGAGGGACCATGGGGAACAAAAGTAGCCACCCTCCAGAAGGAAGGAAAGTGTCAGCACCAATTCAGAGATGATTTCAGGATCTATAAAAACTTAGTGATGAGACAAATAAAATACATTTTTGTTAATAGTTAAGGTACTTGCATGTATTTTTAAGATTTAACTCCCGAGTTTAGTGTCACTTTAAATAATACTTGGTAATACTGACATGAAGGTCCTTTTTCAGGGACTTCCTGTTAAAGGGCGACAACTGTGCTCTTTCGTTTCACACAAGCATCAGATGTAGATAATAAGTGGCTTTTTCCACACACATTATGCAGGCATGGTCCAGAGACCTACCTAAAGAAATGCCATGCAGCCATCATTTTAGTGCACACATTTAGACAGGAAGTGGCTACAAATAAGCTGTAGGCAATCAGCCGCAACAAATGATGTAAAAAGGAGGGGAAAATAATTGTATTCCTAAATGTAATTTGTTTTGCAATTTATTTACTATTTAATAATTACTATACAATTAAATAGTAGAACATTATTTAGTAACCTAAATGTCATTCAGCTAAACTAAACAATTTTTTTGCGTGGTAGAAAATACTGTTTTCACCTTCATTCATCTTTTACATCTCAGTGCTGCTGATCCCCTGTAGTCTAAATACAAAAGCTCCATAACCCAGGACAGGCTTTCTGATGGTGACAACAGTGGCCCATGCCCGAGTAATGCATGTTAATATGGCAACTTGTAGTCTTCTTTAGAAGCTTGCATGCCAGGGTGACAATGCAGAAGCACAAATGGGGGACACGGCACCCCGTAACAGAAAATAAATGAATAAAAATGATTACACATGCTGCTATAGTAAACATCAGTTTCAGTTTGACAGGCAAACCTCCCCCCCCAAAAAGAAAAAAAATACTTAAATAGCAAAAAAAAAACCCTAAACATTAAATTACCCAAACACAAAGTTAACCTTTAATATAAAACCTGAACTGACGGTCGGTATTAAAGTCAGAGGGTTAAAGGAGAACTATGGGGTTAGGGCTTTTCCCCATAGTTCTCCTAAGGGTAACAGGAGGACATATACTAGCGTTCTCCCGTCACCCAAAACTCAGTATATGGCGAGCTACAGCTCGCGGTATACTGAGACACCGCAGCCGGGATGGATCCCGACATTACTGTAGAGATCCACCCAGCTGCGTGAGTGACAGCTGGCTCTGCCTATCTAGAGGCAGAGCCAGCTGTACCCGCCCCCTCCCCCATCCGTTCCGCCAGTCAGCGCTGGAGGATCAGAGCGGGGAGGGGGGAATCACTGCAGGGAGCCGTGAGTGACAGTCACGGCTCTCTGGAGGGACAGGATCGAGAAGTGAGCGAGCGACGCTATGTGTTCGCTCACTTCCCGATCTATTGAGCCGACCTGTGACAGTTTCATTGTCATACGTCGGCTCCAACTATGAGGCTGAGTGATTTTCACACGCCTCATAGTTCTCCTTTAAGCTACTTCTAATGATGATGAAATCACTTAAAATGGATGCTGCTTTTGATGTTTAAAAATGTAAATTTACTGCAGAACAAGCTGGTCCACTGAGAACTGGCACTGATATGCTGTTTTAGGGTGTTTTCTTTGCCTTGCAGGGTCCTATGGAGCCACCCTTGTGTGTGCGCTAATAAGCTGTGTATGACTCCACAGACACAGCAGGACAAGAGACTCCCCTGCCCTCATCTTACATCTTCCTTCTCCAAGCTAGTAGATGGACATCTCCTGGAGACTGTGCTGTCTCCTTGGGATCTTGTACTGGACAGGAAGTTCAGGGAAGCAGAGCTGACACGAGTTGGAGTCAGCAGTGAGGAAACATGATGACTAAGTGTTAGAGGAAAAAATGTAAAGAAATGAATTGCTGGGCAATGTACATTTGTTTGATCTGGATTCATTATTACTTTATGATCCCAAGCAGATGCCCAAGTACTATAAATGGTAATAAATAGGAACACAAAATAATTAAAGAAAATACTTACTCTTTGTGCGGTCGTATGAAACGAGTTTGTGTTTTACCAGCTCCCGCAAAACTTTGTTGCAACCACCATGCTTGAGACTGGCTATAGAGGCTATTAAACTTGCCGGCACTATCTCATGGTTCTTCATACCCATTTCCACCTAAATGGAAAAAGAAAGTTCATGTTTTTTTTTACAAGATAAACTCAATGGATCCCGACATTACTGTAGAGATCCACCCAGCTGCGTGAGTGACAGCTGGCTCTGCCTATCTAGAGGCAGAGCCAGCTGTACCCGCCCCCTCCCCCATCCGTTCCGCCAGTCAGCGCTGGAGGATCAGAGCGGGGAGGGGGGAATCACTGCAGGGAGCCGTGAGTGACAGTCACGGCTCTCTGGAGGGACAGGATCGAGAAGTGAGCGAGCGACGCTATGTGTTCGCTCACTTCCCGATCTATTGAGCCGACCTGTGACAGTTTCATTGTCATACGTCGGCTCCAACTATGAGGCTGAGTGATTTTCACACGCCTCATAGTTCTCCTTTAAGCTACTTCTAATGATGATGAAATCACTTAAAATGGATGCTGCTTTTGATGTTTAAAAATGTAAATTTACTGCAGAACAAGCTGGTCCACTGAGAACTGGCACTGATATGCTGTTTTAGGGTGTTTTCTTTGCCTTGCAGGGTCCTATGGAGCCACCCTTGTGTGTGCGCTAATAAGCTGTGTATGACTCCACAGACACAGCAGGACAAGAGACTCCCCTGCCCTCATCTTACATCTTCCTTCTCCAAGCTAGTAGATGGACATCTCCTGGAGACTGTGCTGTCTCCTTGGGATCTTGTACTGGACAGGAAGTTCAGGGAAGCAGAGCTGACACGAGTTGGAGTCAGCAGTGAGGAAACATGATGACTAAGTGTTAGAGGAAAAAATGTAAAGAAATGAATTGCTGGGCAATGTACATTTGTTTGATCTGGATTCATTATTACTTTATGATCCCAAGCAGATGCCCAAGTACTATAAATGGTAATAAATAGGAACACAAAATAATTAAAGAAAATACTTACTCTTTGTGCGGTCGTATGAAACGAGTTTGTGTTTTACCAGCTCCCGCAAAACTTTGTTGCAACCACCATGCTTGAGACTGGCTATAGAGGCTATTAAACTTGCCGGCACTATCTCATGGTTCTTCATACCCATTTCCACCTAAATGGAAAAAGAAAGTTCATGTTTTTTTTTACAAGATAAACTCATGTTCCAGGAATCTTCCATGTTCTCTTCCTACCTCAAAGAGGAAACACAGCCACAGAGTCACATGTCACTAAGTGACGGCACTCAGTATAAGAGAAATAGACATCTGCTGTAGACAAAAAAAATAGAAAAAGCAAGGGATGGAGCTGGAGTGGTCTTGGAGGTTCCCTAAAAATAAATTCCATGGCAAGAACTGTGAACCATTAAAACTAAACCTGGCTGGAAGGGAGCTTGGTATTGTAATATAGGATAAACCTCTCTGGTGGCCCATGTTTTTTGATCTGTGGGCCCAGAGAGGAAGGACTCAAGGACCTAGGTCGTACCACATATGTCCTAATCTGACTAATCACCTTTTCTGTATCCGTTTCCATGTGACCTTTCTGGGGTAGGTGAAAGACTGAATGACAAAGACCTAGCCACCACATGCCTCCACAGCCTTGCAGGCACGCTTCACCACAAGCAACATGCTACGTGTTTAGGCCCATATGTTCCTCTAGGAGCCGAATGCCTATTTGTTGCAACAACTTCCCATTTTTAGCCCATGTATAGTAACAACTGCCCCTTTGTTGCTTGGGTATTGTAACAATTTGTTGATGGTGTATTATACCGACTGCCCGTTTGTTGCTAGCATATTGTACCAACTGCCCGTTTGCCGACGGTACATTAGAACGTCTGGCCGTTTGCCGACGGTACATTAGAACGTCTGGCCGTTTGCCGACGGTACATTAGAACATCTGGCCGTTTGCCGACGGTACATTAGAACGACTGGCCGTTTGCCAACGGTACCTTAGAACGACTGGCCGTTTGCCAACGGTACCTTAGAACGACTGGCCGTTTGCCAACGGTACCTTAGAACGACTGGCCGTTTGCCAACGGTACCTTAGAACGACTGGCCGTTTGCCAACGGTACATTAGAACGACTGGCCGTTTGCCAACGGTACAAGTATTGTAACAATTTGTTGATGGTGTATTATACCGACTGCCCGTTTGTTGCTAGCATATTGTACCAACTGCCCGTTTGCCGACGGTACATTAGAACGTCTGGCCGTTTGCCGACGGTACATTAGAACGTCTGGCCGTTTGCCGACGGTACATTAGAACATCTGGCCGTTTGCCGACGGTACATTAGAACGACTGGCCGTTTGCCGACGGTACCTTAGAACGACTGGCCGTTTGCCAACGGTACCTTAGAACGACTGGCCGTTTGCCAACGGTACCTTAGAACGACTGGCCGTTTGCCAACGGTACCTTAGAACGACTGGCCGTTTGCCAACGGTACATTAGAACGACTGGCCGTTTGTCGACGGTACATTAGAACGACTGCCCGTTTGTCGACGGTACATTAGAACGACTGCCCGTTTGTTGACAGCGTACAATTATAACGATTGCCTGTTTGGTGCCCATGTATTGTAACACCTTATATGCAAAGTTCAGCTAAAGAAGACTTTCACTGTGTTCCTTTGTTTTCTGGTCATTATAAGTATTCAAATGTCATTAGTATTACTGAAAATAATGCATAGAGGGGTGATAAGGGGTGTTAAAAAGAAAATTAACAGCCCTGGCATCCAACCTACGAGTTACAAAACTGCCGCATGGCAACAAAAAATACTCCAGCGACTACCAGAGCCTGTGCGGTACAACTATCAGAAGTAGACATGGGGCCACAATGCTCATAGCCCTTGTACAGACACAAGGCTACCGTCCATTCCTCCCATCCCGGTATATACCGCCCCTCCCATCACCACAAAACCCGCACATACCGCGGTCAGCACTCTGAAGTCATCTCTGGACAGATACCGAAGAAGAACCACATTTAGCTTCCCCATGCTGACCACCTGGCAGCCTGCAACGCACAAATTCACACTTGCGTTCCACCTGTACGTCGTACGTCACTACGCCACTTCCTTCGGGAGAGTCCTGTCAGCACTATAGTACCGATATATCTGTTTTTGTTCTGTAACTGAAATGTTGTAATTTAGAACGACTACGGTTGGTGATGTGAATATTAAAATATTATCCGGAAATATATCGTGTTCTGTTGAGGAATATCTTATAGGGAAGGATGAAAATGCTTTGTTGTTGGTATTATGGTGCTGCCGGGTCCCTGGCTGCCTAGGAGAAAACTGTAAAGTTTGAAGTGGGCGGGAGCAGAAGGAGAGCTAGTGACACGCACAGCACCAGGTATGAGAGTTTTGGCTTTATTTCTATCACCGTCATCCACACTGACAAAGGTGTTGTTATTAGTGGAATGGAAGTTCTGATCTGATGAGACTTGCTGGGATTTGTTGTACAACTCATAGGGGAGCCCCAGGTGTCTGTAATATGTCAGTCATTGCAAAGCTGACCTGCGTCCCAGACTGGTGCTCATTGATGGGCAGATCGCAGCTGGTGTGTTAGCTAACGACTGTTCTAAGGTCTGTGTATAGTGACTGCCCATTTGTTACCCATGTATCGTAATGATTGCTCCTTTGTTACCCATGTATTGTGAAGAATGTCTGTTTTCTGCCCATGTATTGTAATTATTGCCCCTTTTGTTGTCCTTGTATTTTAACAACTGCCCATGTGTTGTCCTGTATTGTAATGACTTCCTGTTTGCTGCTCCTGTATTGTAAAACCTACCCCTTTGCTGCCTTTGTATTGTAATGACTGTCTGTTTGCTGCCCATGTATTGTAAAGCCTGCCCCGTTGCTGCCCTTGTACTGTAATGACTGTTTGCTGCCCATGTATTGTAAAGCCTGCCCCGTTGCTGCCCTTGTACTGTAATGACTACCTGTTTGCTGCCCTTGTATTGTAAAGCCTGCTTCTTTGCTGCCCTTGTATTGTAACGACTGCCTGTTTGCTGCCCTCTATTGTAATGACTGCCCCTTTGTTGCCCTGTATTGTAGTGACTGCCTGCTTGCTGACCTTATATTGTAAAGCCTGTCCCTTTGTTCCCTTGTATTGTAATGACTGCCCTTTGTTGCCCTTATGTTGTAATGACTTGTTGCCCTTGTATTGTAAAGACTGCTTCTTTGTTGCATCTGTATTGTAATGACTGCCTGTTTGCTGCCCACGTATTATAACGACTGCCCATTTGTTGTCCCTGTATTGTAATGACTGTCCTTTGCTGCTAATGTACTGTGGCTTTCTGGTTCCCTGGCCCCCCTACTGACCGCAAATGTGATGGACGACGTTAAAGGGAAGGGGCGAGTACTTGCACTATGCAAATTCTTACTTGTGCAGGCTTCACACCTAGGCAAGCCCCTAGCCTTTCTCATTGCCTGCCTTTTAGATTGCCTGTGTATTGCAGATACAGCTGCTTGTAGAATCTTCTAAAAACCAACACTTTGGTAGTGTCAGATTTCTTGTTCCTGTTCTGTGGTTCTTCCTGCTAGCCCCTGCGTCTCTGCTGTGTCCTATAAGTCAAAGGCATAGCGCCTTAGATGCACTACAGGTATAGAGCTATGAGGCCTGAAGCTGAAATCCAGGATAAGGAAATATTGGCTAAATACAAGATCCACGTGTATTCTTATTTGTGACCTGGTGTGCTTTGTGTATTCCTTCCAGATCTGTGCCGTAATCCAGTGTGAAACTTTGTCTCTGTACAGGAGCTTCCTGTAATAAAGATCGGTCTCCCCACCCTTGTGCAGGGTGATTGGTCTTGTCTCTGCCCTCTCCTGTAGTTTGCTACAGGCAACCTGCAGTAAGTGGGGCCTGCTTGGTTCCTCCCACAACTCTGCTCTCTGCATAGGCTATGTGCAGCACAGTGATGATGTCACTGCTACTTGTACGAGTATTAACTGGAGTTGCAAAGGCATTTGCTGCACACAAGATGGATTTATATCCTTTGTGGCTATAGAGAAATATATTTAAATGAAAGTTTTGGAGCCCATAGTTCAGCTTTAACACATAGGAGTGCCTAGTTCCCTAGCATTGGAAATCTTCACTTTTTAAAGCTCATGTCCACCCAAATGTCAAACTTAAAGCAGACCTGTGCAGGGTGATTTCAGGGTATAGTTAAAGTGTGTGTTGATTGTCTGCATTTCAGACTTGAGTGTACTTCTAATCTGATTCCTTTAACAAAAATATTTTCTTGTATTACCCACATCTAGAAAAGAAATACATTTGCATGTTTGAAAACTAAGAAGAGCTACAGCCTGGTGAAGACAACATGTCCTCCTCACACTCCTCTTCTCTGGAGTTTCTTCAGGTAATTTTCATTTGATGAATTCCTTTATAACAGTTGTTCTTTGTTTATACCATCATTGTTTGTCAATACTGTGAGAAGCTTTGTGCACCAAGCGACAAACGCGCATATTCGATACGCCTAGGTGTGAACCCAGCCTAAAGGAGAACTATGAGGTGACTGATTTTCACTCAGCCTCATAATCTAAGCCGACCTGTGACAATGAAACTGTCACAGGTCGGCTGAGTAGATCGGGAAGTGAGCTAACACATACCAGCGCTCGCTCACTTCTCGATCCTGTGCCGGCAGAGAGCCATGACAGGGGGGGACTTGTTTCCCCTGTCCGATCCTCCAGCACTGACTGGCGGAGCAGACGGGGGAGGGTACAGCTGGCTCTGCCTCTAGATAGGCAGAGCCAGCTGTCACTCACACAGCTGGGTGGATCCAGACATAATTGTCTGGATCCGTTCCGACTGCGGCGTCTCAGTATACCGCGAGCTGTAGCTCGCGGTATACTGAGCTTTGAGTCACGTGAGGACGCTAGTTTGTGTCCTCCTGTTACCCTTAGGAGAACTATGGGGAAAAGCCCTAACTCCATAGTTCTCCTTTAAGATACGTTCAGAGAAATACTAACATATTACACCCCCCTTCATTACTTGCCATTTTCCAGTTTTCAGCGCGGTGCAAATTTGTCTGAGAATTACTCCGTCATGCAACACTGTACAAAATAATTTTTATATAATTTTTTGGGACAAATATATGAAGTGAAAAAGAAAAAAAAACAAACAACTTTTTCTCTTACTTTCCTTTTATAAATCATAGCGAATAAAAAAAAAATGTCAGGACTGCATGAAAATCCCCGAAATGACTCCTTTTTGGGAAGTAGACACTCCAAGGTGATCTGATTTTTAGAAAATAAAGAAACATGCAGTCATTGAGGGTGTTAAAACATGGAGCTTGGTCATAGTGCACAAGATACAATACATTTGCAGGTCATAGACAGAGGGAGGTGGAGGGGAAGGGTTTAATATACAAGTCAGAGCATAGATAGACTGGATCTAAAATAAGCAGCAGAGGAGCTGGGTTAAAATAATTTGAAACCATTTTTTTCTGCTGCAGCTTGTTTTCACTAGTAAGCAATGAAGGGATGACTCATCCATTCATTACTCCCTTTACTTTCCCCTGCCTCTGATGTAAGAGGAAGTGGAGGGCTGGGCAATGTAAACATTGCCATGTGATGTATGTGATAACCAGTATAAACCCGTTTGGTCCCTTCATCAGGCAAACTTGAAGGGACCAAACGGGTTTCGAAACGTCGCCATGTTGTGACACCATGGAGGTCAATAAAATATTGACTGAACTTGAGCTGGAGTGCAAGTGACTTCTTCATATTTATACTAATTTGCGGAGGCATCTGTGGTCGCTTGGCACCCACCCGATACTTGAGGGTATTATCCGGTCAGGTGCACGATGGGTTTCTTTTGATTATTGGATGTGATAACCAATCACAGCGATCACAGGACACAGAGGCGGTCTGATCGGCTCTTTGTCCAAACCCGTTGTTTTCTGCTGTCCAATGAGGGCGGGAGCAGCGGCAGCCCGCACACGTGTTCAAGGGAGGGTGTATAGGTACATCCTCGCCCACAATGCGCCAGCAGACTAGCCGTTTTATTACAGCGGCTGGTCCACAATTGTTTACAGTAACAACACACAAGGTCAGTGGTTGTTAGTCTTAACAATTGTGTAGTACACATTTAAACTCACAAAAATAAGAGAATAGGATGCAACACCTTGTAACAGGTTTAGGCCCCGTTCACATTGAGCGATTCATCGCGCGTTAATTCCTGCGATATCGTGGCAATTTACCGCGCGATATCGCTCTCCAATGCTTCTCAATGGGGCAAAGGGTCCTGCTGTCGCGGGTCGTGTGTCGCTACAGCAGGACCCTTTTTGGAGCGGATTTAGCCGCGATTCAAGCTTGCTCAATGCAAGCATTTATCGCGCAAAATGCAAATCACGCGACAAATGCGCGATTTGCGAACCGCTCAATGTGAACGTGGCCTAAAGGAGCGTCATACAGAGGTCATCAGTCAATAAGTGGAAGAGAAACAATAGGAGATACAGTATAAGGAGAAAAACAGAAGGAAGAGTGCTTATGATAGATGAAGATACAAAATCAATGTAGAAAGTAGATACATGTTATGAAATAGGATACCTATAGTCAATGATCATAGAGGCGTACACTTCTTTTAGTTGCTTCTGAAGGGAGGACCATAATGTGAAAGGGAACCCAAGAGAGACACCTCCCTGGAGTCCCCTGCAGCATTTAAAACTGTACAGGAATGAAGGTATAGCTGTGGTCCTTTGTTAGGATTCCACTGCTGGAGGAGACCATCCAGAGGATACTACTGTAAGTTAAAGGGTAAGGAAACATTCAAACACGATTTCCTTACCCTTTTTATCTCACCTTCCAAGCAGACCTAGCCCACCCTCACTCCTGAAAGCTTCATACTTAGTGATGCTGTCACCAAGGCCTGCGGAAACGCTTAGACATCTGCTGGGCTGGGAGATGGATCTCAGTGGTGTGATCTTGATGAGCATTGAACTTTGAGGGGGAAGGTGGGCTGGCCCTGCTCTCAGGCCTGGGGAAAAAAGGATAAAGAAACCCTTTAAAAGTTACCTCCTATTCGTTCCAACATACT